AACTAAACGTGGTTACTTGAAGGCTTCCTTGTTGTTGTAATAAGTTAGCAAGATGTGGGCTCACCTTTAGAAAATTCTGAAGCTGCATTGTTTTGCCTTTTATTCCCATTGCTTAGCAACAGCATAGGAATAGGGGGATTTGTTAGGTTTCGATATCGTATCTTTCAGTTAACTGTTTTGCTGCAGAAATCGTCCCTGGAGAAGTTCGTCGATACTAAATCTTTTTCTCTTACTATTCAGAATCTCCAATGGGCTTCTTCTTCCCCTTCTGCTCCAGCGTTCGATTATTTTTGAATTATTAAATTCTGGAAATGATTGAGCAGTTCCATCTTCTTCTCTGTCTTGCTGATATTCCTACTTATTGATGAAACTCGCTGAGTGAAATCCAGCAAGTACAAGATTGGAAGTCAGTCCTACTAAATTATTCATGATAACTCGAGTCGTCGATTGGACGGGCTTCGACATGTATGTCTTATACGACTTAACACACCCATCAACGGGTTCTCTTAGAAGTTGTCTTATAGGAAAATAACTACTGCTTCCTATACTAAATCGCCGTAACTCAACTGATAAGTGAGCTTATTTGATTGCGACTGTTTTAATCTACAGATTTTTGCCAACAAGATGCAGGCTCGGCCGTTTCACCGTGATGGAACCGTTTCTTCGGACCACACAAAAGGTGTATTTTCCTTTTTTGCTCTTCTCTAGGGTCCTATTTGCAGCTCGAAATTTTCTATCACTTTCTTGAACATTTTGATTCTAATAAGTGTCAAATTAGGATAGCCATAAGTGAAACTCCTTCATTGCTCTATTCGTGGAGACATTATCGTAGATTTCCGAAAAAGCAACTCGGTCGCCTAGTGGTTAGATAACACGTCAACATTGACACTGCATTTTTAACTCAAAAGACCGACTGTCTTTAGACCTCGACGTAAATAATCGATATATTTATTTATATGTTCTTACGAACTGTTCTTGTTGAACTGACGCGAGATTGGTATAAGTTGTCATTGTCGTTGTTGTTGGTTGATGGCTGACGTTTCGGCGATATCGCTTTCCTCAGAACTGTGCTGTGGCCAGTGAGATTCCATTTTGACTGAATTTTTAATATGCCAGAATTTGCCTTTACCGATTTTTTCTGCCTTTGTAGAAGGAACGAGTAGCGCAGTGCAGTGATGCCTTTCATTACAAGTCCCAATCAGCTCAGGCGCTGCTCCGACCCCGATATGGCCTTGCGAAGGCTGTTATCTTTCCGAGAGCAGTAAATTGATGTCAGACTCGTTGGGATTAGTTCACCTTCTCCAGTCCAACTGGAAAAGCCTTAGATATGCTATCTCAGGTTTCTGGAAAGATTCGACTCTACCGGCACTTAACAACATTCGTGATGAATACGTTAAAAATCCGCAAAGCAGGAACGGAACCCACACACAGTTAAGGTTTTATGACCTTTGTGGATGGTAGATGCGAGGAAACGAATACAAGAAGTTCAAATGTCCGCGCAATGGTACATCGGGACATATAGTAATAATGTGTCGTTTTCTTGTTCAGCAATCGCGAGGTTTTTAAACAGCATACATTTACTTCCATAAAAAAACACAATACAATACAACACTAGCTGACGTTTCGGCAGTGTCGCCTTCTTCAGAGCCTGGAAGGGTATACTGATATACAATCGACTAGGCCAAACGCTTCAATAACACTTACACAAAGACGAAAGACTCTTTGGTAATTACACGATCAACAACTTCTCGAAAAACCCACCGCTTACTCGTGACTTCCAATGAGGAAGGTTAGAACAGCTGATTATAGTCGCATGTGGTTGACGACTGCACCATCCCATATCAAAAATCGATGCGAACGTACGGGATCAGGTCGCGTATGACCTCCGGGCATTCATCCCTGCTATTCATTGTAGGGTTTTGGCATTGATCCAAAAAGCCTCAAGGAGTTTTCGCGCTGGTGTTTTGGACTCCTGTGCAAGGATATTGACTTTTACTTCAAAATCGTCTCCGCTATGCTTTTGTATCCTATGCGTGCCTAGTGGGATGCTTCGTCTTAGTTTTCGTTTGCCATCTAGGTCTTCTTTTATATGGATACATAAAAATTTGTCCGTTTCGCCAGATGAATATCTCCGCAATTATTACAAGTGATCAGGTATATCGTACCTGAACTCATGCAATCACCGTCCCTGCCGTAAAGGCAAATTACGCAATTTGTTGTTTCACACAGACGGTCATACAGGCGGTTGCGAACTAATTGGCGACGTAGAGTAGTCGGTGGTATTTCAACTATCGCTACCGATTCCTCTAGACTTGCCCTTCTTAAGCATCGTTTTATAGCTGCGCTTACTTCATCGCTTATAAAAGGCAACATAAACGGGATTTTGTTTTGGCCAAGTGCTTCGCGTGGGCGCGTCGTTCTCCTTGTAGACTTATCTCGTGGGGTTACTATTTCGTAGCCATTGGAGATGGGTATTTGCCGAGCCAAGTTCCGCGATTCTTCCTTTAGTTCCCTAGTAGTGCACACAGAGGTGGCTGTTCGAAACATGTTTCTCACAATCGCCCTCTTTGTGTGTGAAGGGTGGGAAGAAAGAAAATGAACAAGAATGTTCTTGTTACTTGGCTTTCGATACCACTTTGTCAGATAACCGCTACTTGATAGGTTTATTTGAACGTCCAAAAACGGAAGCCAGTTTTTTCTCGGTTTCTCCAGGTGAATTTTATGTACTCGGACTGTTCGTTCAATAATTCAAAGCATTTGTCCATCTCCTTCTGCGTAGAGAAGACGAGAAAACAATCATCTACATATCTGCAGTAGAGTAGTGGCCGAAGATCGAGAACAGGGGCTTCTATCTTAGACATAAACACAATGGCCAGGCTTGGTGCCAATCGCTGTCCCATTGCCAACCCACTTATTTGCGCGAAATGTTTCCCATACCATCTGAAAATCGCGCAGTTTAGGCACTCCTTTAAGAGAGCCATTAGCTGCTGGATGGACAAGCCATGCATATTTATTCTTCCTTCATGTTCAACAAGAAGTTCGAAGATGGCTTGCATTGCGGAGTCATTCGATACGTTGGTGTACAGTGCGGTAACATCGAAAGACTCCATCACGTACGCGTTATTAGGAGACGCGTTACTTAGACGTTCTAGGAACATTTGGGTGTTTGCGAGGTGAGCTAGAATGTGGTTAAGCAAGTGAGTAAGTATCAGGCTTAAAAATCAGGTTATTCTCTCCGTTGGCCCGTCTACACAGCTGATGATCGGTCTAACTTTAAATGATGACGGATTGGTTGACGCATGGTCATCAGGTGATACCAACTTATGTGTTTTGATAAGTAGGTGTAGGACGGGACATGTTGTTCTATCGATTTTAAAGTGCAAAATAACCGATGATTTTAAACTTGCAGCCTTTGCCACACTGACCCATTGATTGTTTAGCTTTCGGTATTGACTTTTATATTCCTTTTCAGAGGATGGGCGATAGAGAGTAGCATCATTAAGATGTTCCTCTGTTATCTCAACATCCAGCTGGCGAGGAATAACTACGAACTCTCCCCTTTATCACTAACAGACAATCTTATTGTTTTCGAGTTTATTAATTCTCTAATTTCCCGCATGCCATATTTTTCTGCGGCTGTAAGGTTAGAGATAAACTTTCTATCGCGGTAGTGATCAAGAGTCTTGAGAACGCCGTCCGAAAACGCGGAATTTTATGTCAACTCCATCGTTAGGGTCCTGCTATCTAAAGAACGTTTTTGGGAAAGGAGATGGTGGTAGTGTCGCCGCTTCTTGATTTTTATCTCTATTTGATGTTTCTTGCTTGGCCTGATAGCGGAGTCGATCTTGAAGCTCATAAAGGTTGCATGCTATCCTACGTAGAGTCGTTTTAGAAATGGGCTATGATGGTGCAAAACTTGGACCCAATTCTAATAGCGAGTAATAATAATGATGACTTCTTATTTTGTGACAACTACAATTTTTCACAGCAGGGTAATATGTGAAATCCAACCACAATGGTGCTGAGATGTTTGGAAAATCCCGGACCCCAGGTGTCTGCGATGGGAATCCAACGCGCCTTTTCCCTTCCGGGGCCAACGCGTTCACCACCAAACCACTGCTATAATAACATATTTTTCCCTATTTCTTCTTCAATGTTTTTGTATCGTATCTAATATATATATATATATATATATATATATATATGGCGTAGACTTTTCTTTGCACATTTTCCATTTTGACTTCGTATCATTGTCACTAAGGAATCGGGTTGTTTTCAGAAGAATTTTTACTAGTACTAATGTTTTTTTTCTCCAAAGTCGTGTCATTAGTTAATACTGTTACAATCTACCTTATTATGTCTTTCTGTTCTGTGGTAGTCTTTGATATGTGTTATTTTAATTGTGCAGTGGAGTCCTTTTTGGAAAGTTTTGAAACCACTGTATGTTTATTTTGTCCGTAGTCTTACGTTTTTTCCTAGGTCGCGACTTGGAGCACAACTGCATAGAGTTCGTGAAGGAACTAAGTCAACTCTGTTTTCAGAATTCAATTTTTAACCTGTTGGGTAGTGCAGACCACAAGCTTTGTAAGATAGCTGCTATGGATACTACTTTTCTAATTGGGGAACACCTCGGGAGGCTTATTGTTTATCCCATTCCGATATAACGTGCTTGATGATTCTTCGGTCGTTAAATTGGCTGGGTCGCTTTCCTTGATCGTTTTCCTTTTTCTTTCTGTCAAGTATCTAAGTCCTAATTCCCTTTAGAGTCCGTAGTTGGCCTTTTCTTCAAATTTATTCAAAGATCTTAGTGCAGAGCTTAAGATGTGTACTCGTGCTAGTTTTGTTGTATGTTAACATCATCGCCTCTATCTTACTATTATTGATTGTTATACGTTTTAGAAATTTATCGAAGATTTTCGGTCGACGTAACAGCAGAGAAGGAAAGAGAAGAAGACTTAGAAGGAAAAGAGACAGCGTCGTCATCACAAAAACACGTTAGGATGCCGAACATAAAAGTGAGATCTTAGCTTTATGATGTTCATATTCCAAGTTTCAACTTTATTCATGTTGTCCGTTTGGTTTAGGTATTTTCTGGGTCATCTCATCGTGACTTAGCCCAGCGTATTTGCGAGCGCCTTCAGTTGGACGTGGCAAAAGCATCCCTGAAAAAATTTAGTAACAGGGTAAGTTAAGTTTGACCTGAGTGGAATGTGGACTGAAAGTTTTGTTTTTGTATGACGAATGTAGAGCAAGTTAAAGTCTAGATCATTCCATCGGTTAAAAATCTGTACATCGATACGGTAGGCGTGCATTTCAAAGATTTGCTTCAGGAAACGAATGTGGAAATTGGTGAATCTGTTCGTGGTGAGGATGTGTATATTATACAGTCAGGAGCTGGTGAAATCAATGACAATTTGATGGTTTGTTCTCTTTCAGCTCTTCCAAGAACAAAGACAAGTAGATATGGATCTTGGTTATAACCGATATTAAGACTTTTCTCGAGGTAGTTTTTTCAGCCTTAGAAATGAGTGAGATTCCTTGACGCTGTCTATGGAGTTATGTTTTCCTGGGTTTGTTGATCTTTTGATGATGATTGGTCTTAGGAGCTGCTCATCATGATCAACGCATGCAAGATAGCGTCGTCGTGTCGTGTGGCAGCCGTTATTCCGTGTTTTCCGTATGCCAGACAGGATAAAAAGGATAAATCACGTGCGCCCATATCGGCTAAACTAGTGGGTCTAATATCTCCATAGTTGTTAAACATTCCCTTGAGTGCTGACGGAGTACCTGTTGTACTCCATAGAAAGCACATTGAACGATTGACTTCGTTAATTTCATGTTGCTAATATGCTGTCTGTTGCCGGTGCGGACCACATAATCACAATGGACCTTCACGCCTCACAAATACAAGTTCTTTTTTAATTTTTCCCACACTCTGTTCATAATTCTTAGTGCTTTATTACAGGGTTTCTTCGACATTCCTGTCGATAATCTGTATGCAGAACCAGCAATTCTTAAGTATATTAAGGAATCAATTCCTAATTGGCAGACATCAGTGATCGTGTCACCTGACGCTGGCGGAGCTAAAAGGTAGGCGTCTACTAAAAGGTTTGGGCTAACCATATTCTGTGTACCTTTAGGGTTAAAATAGCAATGTGTTATCTCTAGTTCATTTTCAAGGCGTAACACCTATATACAACGTTTAACTTTTTATTTATTGCCTGTTATTTTTTTCATAGCAGGAAATTATGTGAAATACAACCAAAAGGGTGCTGGGGCATTTGCAAAGCCTCGACGGGAAACACGTGAGCTCCCGAAGATGGCATTCGTGAGTTCGAAACTGGCCTGGGACTTGAGTTTTGCAAATATCTCAGCATCATTATAGTTGCACATCTGTATACACATCATTCACAGTTGGTTGCCAGGTCAAATCGATCTATAATCTTTCTATGGTTTACAAATTTAGTGTAAGCATGTTGGTGAATTTCATTTCATTAGTCATCCAAGATTTCATCTGTCACTTATTTTTCAAACGCTTCATATTTAGGATTCACAATTTTTCTTTGCATTTCCAGTAATTTATGGTTGTATGGTTGCAGTAGCATCCGAATATCCATTACTGGTTTAGGGTAACGTCAATTGCTGATCGCCTTAATGTTGATTTTGCGCTCATTCATAAAGAGCGGAAGCGTGCAAACGAAGTGGAGAAGATGACTTTAGTTGGAAATGTCGAAGGAAAGGCATGTCTTAGCTACCATTTACTAAAAGTTCAATAGGAGGTGAAATCCTTGGTGTCCTCTAGTCTTTTGGTCTTCACTTTCTGCTAAGACACTTTGCCGACATTGCTCTTGTAAATTTTGTGAGGTTCTAAGTAAGGTGTACAGAGACTTGAACATTCTATCTGACGCATTGGCGAAAATATCGATAAAGTTTCATGTCTGCCAATTTCCAGGTAGCTATACTTGTTGATGATATGGCTGATACATGTGGAACAATTTGTATGGCAGCAGAAAAGTGAGTTTTATTTTTTAGTAGTTTTGAACCCTACCTTTTTATTATGAATTTTTAGATGGTAGTCTCTCTACAGTGTTGAGTTCCTAGAGATCGACGGTTCACATTAATTCAGACTTGTTGAAGCTGGCGCTGAGAAAGTGTATGCTTTCTGTGTCCACGGAATATTTTCGGGCCCCGCTTTGCAGCGCCTGAACAACTCAAAATTTGAAGCGATCGTAGTTACGAATACTATTCCTCAGGAAGAAAACATGAAACAATGTCCCAAGATTCAGGTTTGTCGATTTTATACAGTGCTGTTGAAATCAAAAGCCTTTGTTTTTATTTCCTTTTAGTAACTCACTAGGTTGAATGTGTTGCTTGTCGCTTCTATATTGGAGTAATATACTTAAGCCCTCTATTTAAGGGGGGGGGGGGGGGGGGGGGGGGGGGGAAGGGGGCAGTCGCAACAGTTAGACTCTGAAACTGGTTTTTCCACAACTCCAGATAACGTTTTGATAACTAGAGTACTTGACGAGTTGTAAACATGTGCTGTACATATGGACGGGACTTTCTTATGTTTTCAGAACAAATGTAATTTTCCATTTTCTTTTTAAAAACTTTTATTTTTGAGGTCTTTTAGAGACAAAGTTAGAAAAGGAATTTGTATTTTCAAAATCCCTAACGTAATCTGGCAACCAAAACCATAAGGGAGGATGCCATTAAGTTTGAGTGTACGGAATTCCGCTTGCTTCGGTACTCGAAGTTGGAGCCTGTTTGAAAAGGAAAAGACGAGAAAAGCTATTTCTGGTTTTTGTAAAGTAAGGATTTTACCATGGTAGAATATGAAGACTTGTACTTTGTTGGCAAAAATCCATATTGTAATGGTTTCCACTTCAACTAAGGTTAGCTTTGATAACCGTGTACAAGGATATGATGGTTTGAATTTTAAGCAACCGCTGTTTAGGCACCGTGTGAATGGAAATGAATTCACCCAGGACTCTAAGTGTTAATTGGAACGAAAAACCTGCATGAGTTCTCTAAAAAGGCTTTGATTTGGAAGATTCTAAACACTATTTCAAAACCGACTTTCCTTTAATGTACTCGGATCATCGGCTCTGGTGAAGACGAAACCGTCGAAATGTTACTCGAATAAGGATTGTCTATCAATGTCGTGTAAGCCTATCAAAGAAAGAATACATATACTCAGTATTACTTAAGACTGAGCAACAGTTCGTTTCGCTTTTAGCGTTTGGTAGCTTCCAAGTTTGATATGTTGTAAGGTTCAAATGCTTGTAGCCTATGTGAGTATACAGAGGGAAAGCACCCTGATTATTTGTATTCTGTGCATAAGCATAGACCGAACTGATAGTGATTTTCCTCTCAAGCGTAGCGAGATCCATCGGCTGTGAAGTGGCTGACTACTCTATAGTGGAAAGGACTCGTATACAACAACATTCAGAAAGAGGTCGTGCTCTAAATGCGACAAAATTTCTTCAACCAAAGTCTAAGTCGGACTCCTTCCGAGGGATATCGTGTCGTTCATCCGGAATAATTTTAGAGTCTATACACCTAGCGCTGCAAAAAGAAACGCTTGGTGCTAAAAACTGTTGTTCACACTATTAAAATAAAGGATACCATCAATGGGAAATGACTGGAATTAGTCAGCAATGAAAGTGTTCGGGTTTTTTTGATATTAAACTGGTCAACATGTGTCCCTGGCGTCTGGGCAATAATTCCCATGACATGAATGGGGTGTTCGTCCATCTTATTTATCAGGTTTTCCGCTTCTGACAATTTTTTTTGTATACTATCCATCAATATATTTGCAAAGTAATTTTAAATGGTATGGATTTCAGCTCATTGAAAACCTACAGAGATCGTCTGGGTCAATTTTTTTGCCTTTTAATCCTGGAAGTTCTGCCGACCAAGGAATTGTACCCTTTTTGTAAATATTGTGGAAATTCGTCAAAGAAAACAAAGCGTACATAGTTGAACTTTTGTGTTTTATCTTTTGTTCTTATATAGGTGTTGTCCGTGACTTTTGGAAAATGAAAGACAGCTCAACGTTTTTGCAGCAGTCATCAACTAACAATGAAGGTTTTTGAGAAGGTGGAATTATTCTTATAGTAAAGAATTTTGGAAGACTTTTCAGTGTATCGACATATCAATGATCCTGGCGGAAGCGATTCGTCGCACGCACAATGGAGAATCTGTTTCTTATCTTTTCTCACATGTGCCCATCTGCTGAGCAAGTAATCACCGTTTTATTGAGGACTCCACGATGTCCTCGTACATAACCTCAGATGTTATCAGTTCATGAAAATCTATCTGATATTGATTTGAGATAAGCTGGTTACCTTTCTATAGGTGTTTTTGTTTCCTACTCTTGCTCCTAACTCACTAATTGACTGGTCGTTTGCGACTATCCGTAGTACATATGGATTTTATGCTTGTGCTCATCAATTTCCGTCTACTATGTTCAGTCAATGTGAGGAAGAATGTTCACATAGTATGGAACTGTGTTTATGATTTGTCATGTTATTGTGGTTACAAATTGGTTCGTGTGAACCTTTGAGTAGATGTTTATGTGTAGTTAGGTCGAAATCTGTTAGACTCGTGTGAATATAGTTGATGTTCTAATTTACGTTATTCCGTTTTTTCTCTTTATGTAAATGTCACGGTTTAGATATGATCAATGAACATACAATGCTATTCCTGGAACAATTCATAGTAAAGGTTTGGGCCCGTATTTGGAATTTGGTTACAACGTCATCACAAATACCAGCTGCTCAGTGTCTTTTTATGGCTGTTACCAGTTACAATCTTACGAGTATAATATTCGAAACACGGCTACAACGTATGGTAGATAAGTACTGACTCTTAAACTAATCGTTCTCAGAGTTCCACTGATTGGCCACGAGTCCACTACGGCATTACTTGTGTTTTAGCTGACTTTAGTGCAAGTGAGACAGGCTACTTTGTCTTTGAATGAAATGTTTCCACCCATTTGCGTAGTTTCACCAACTTATGTATTGTTCCTTCGAAGTTTTATTTTTCTATAGACAGTATTGCATAGATGAAGAGCTGGAGAGTCTTAGAGCAGTGGTAGCGGGAAGGTTTATATTTCTCTAGGAGATTTTTCTGTGCAGTAATGAGAAAGCTGGTCACAGATAGTCACACCTTGACATAACACATAGCTACGTAACGATTGGGGAGTTCACTCCCATCCTACTACTTGTTTTTTCCTTTTTATTCTTGTCCGCCATTCCTTTTACTGACGACGTTGATATCGTTTGGAGAAATACCAGTTATACTGAGCGAATGCTAGATTAGCTCAATGATTCGAGGAGAAGGACTAAATTGGGCGTAGGTCAGAACTGAAACCAGTTTGTTGAGAGTGCACGCTCCGTTGAAAAAGAAGTCGCAAGGGTTAGATAGAGGCCACATCATAAAATACGTCATGTTGGGACTGAGATCGATATTTAGGTGGTATTCTTAAGAAGAAGAGCAGTGCGGTTTGTGTTAGGAATCAGAATTTGTCTGGGAAGGAAAAAACACAGCCTTGATAAACCGGTAGGCTCCCGCATGTCAAACGTGGATAGATCGATCATGTGATGAAAAGGAGTGGCGACATATAGATAAGGAAAGCGGTAGTCGTTTTTGTTCCTCCTAGATTTCCTTTTTTAGGACAACTACCTATTCCGGACATTCATGTTTGTGACCCACATCGACCAGTTGGGTTAAAAGCTAGGAACAATTTGCGGATCACTCAATAAATGATGTTTTTAAACGTTCTGATGACGTACTCGTAACATGGATGAGGATTACGAGAAAGAAACATGTGCAAGATCTGGTAAGGAATCCGTACAATCGGTGAGGGTTGGCTGTCAGAGTGTCATTAAAATAAACCGTGAGTGGAACCCTATCTGTATGCGCCATTCGTTGGCCTTCATTAAGCATCGTCAGAGGTGATTGAATGCATATTTGGCCTTTACAATGACTAACGGTGGCCTACCGATGAATCGAGTCAGTGCTGCTATCCTCCAGACAAGTTTGGTACCAATTTGGCAAACCCGGCGAGATGGAAGGCCTTGTGAGCCGCGGACTCGGGGATCGACCCCGTGTATAATGCAGGGCGCCTCCGACCATTGCTCCATACGCGCCCGTCTTGAATGGCTTACCTTATATTAAATGGAATATTACATATCTACGGTGTATAATTTGAATCCTGGTGCAATGCACACCAATAAGGACGAGTTGCGCCTATTTCTTGTTGTTTGGCGCGATTAAATTTTTTCCTTGAAACAGGTTTTAATACGTTATTGTCAATTTAAAGCAAAATAAAAGGCGGAGAACCTCCTTAGGACGTGTCCAATACACCTTGATAACACTTCGCTTTGAACCTTAAAATATCTTCGTGTTCATCGTTTCTGTTTCATTTTTTAAAAATTTTATGGCTCGAAATCACATGTGTCACATTGTGCGGGTCGCAGTGCTTCCTGTATTCGAGCCGTTTCCTTGCGTGTACCATTCCAAAATGTCTTTGCACTTTTCTTTGCCCGTGGGATTCACTGTTGCCCGATTTCTTCGTTCTCGTCAGAAATGTCGTTGGATGCTGGTTGAGTCAGTTCTTCCTGGAATCCTGAGATAACTGTGCTAGGGCGTACATAGATGAGAGGGAGTCAGCTTGTCCCAGAAAAGTCCGGTACCTTAGTTTCCCGACTTTGGAGAGATGAGAGGTTTGGTGGGTGCGAAGTGGTCTGAACCAGCGCCGGTGTCGGTCGGGCCGTCCACATAATGCGTTGTGCTTGTATTATATGAGCAGATCACAAATCCATTTAGAGGAACCCTGGATCCCTTTCAGTATCTTCTGAGTGGTCTTTTAGCATGTTCAACTTAAAATGACTTAGTTGAAGAGGAGTGACTTCTTCATTTATTGTGTTTCGCGTCAGAGATAGAGCTTCGGTCCAGTTATTACTTTGGTTTCTCTGATTAAGTTGGCGCTTGAAATAAGGTGCTGCAGGCCTGTTGGAAAATTTATTATTTTGCGGATGATGTAACTATCTATTTTTTTCGAAATATAACACATCGACTTCGTTACTTATTGTTAGTAGTTTGATAGTAGGTTTGAATCTTGTCCTTTGAGAACACAGACAAGTCCTTTAGGTTTTAGTTCTTTCCAGAACACTTATCGTTCTAACTGTTCTGTCCATGGAACTCGTTCATGTGGATTTAGTCGCTATTTATTTAGTTAGGTTGTTGGAAGTAAAATATTCATGTTACACTTGGCTTTTTTGTACTATTACAAAGTTCTTCATTCTATTGCCTACATTGTCCATATGAGAACAGTTTTTTTTTCAGACTGTTCGCCTATTATGCGGCTCAATTTGATTCTTCTTCTTATACTATCCATACTAGCTGACGTTGAATCCCAAACATGGTTTACTGGTGATAATTCAACAGTGATAGGATGCAGGTGAGGATCGGAACCGTCCAGATAGTCATAATGATGCTGAGATGTTTGCAAAACTCCGGACCCCTGGTATCTGTGGTGGTGAACGAACGCGACAGATGATTGCTGGTGGCACTAGCCTATAGAAAACTAGCTGAGAGACAGGAGTAACAAAGGACTCGCATGGTGTGGTGGTGAGCGCGTTATTTCTTGAACGGGTAATAGCGTGTTTGATCTCCACCGCAGATACCGGTCCGGAGTTTTGCAGATATCTCAGCATCATTGTGGTTACATTTCAAATAGCATCCTTCGGTAAAAAATTGTACTAGACAGTAAGTAAAAAGTTGACATTGTGATTCCAGATAGTGTTTATTCATTTGCAGTGTTCTTATAGCTTTTGTTCTGTTGACTTTGCCAGCAAATGGATTCTTTTGTTCTGTTAACTTTATTAACAAATGGGTTTACTCTCGACATTGCACCTGTTTTAATGAAATATATAGATAACACTCAATCCCACGGTTTTCCTTGATGAGCAGAGACGTCATGTGAATCAAGAAAAGTAGTGAATTGTTTACCAATGCCGAGATTATTAGGAAGTCAGTCTTGGGATTTGCTACAGTCAATCTCGTCTCCTAATGAGCATTAGCGTTCTTTCATTCGTTTTTTCGTATAGGAACTTTTGGAAATGGAAGCACTAAAAAAGCTCTCGGTGTTGATTAATCCCTGAGGCATGCGCCATGCATTCGACTTCATTGTGTCGTTGGAGGTGATTGAATGCATATTTGGCTTTTTACTTGCGGTGGCTTACCGATGTATCGAGCCAGTGCTGCTGTACTCCCAGACAAGCCTGGTAGCAATTTGCCGACTCCGGAGGAATGGAAGGCTTGTTAGCTATAGACGCTGGGATCGATTCCGCGTGCGTGTCGCGGTGGCGCCTCCATCCACTGCGCCACGCGCGCCCCTTTTGGAAATGGAAGCTAAAGAAACTTGTCATGATATCTCAAGTATCGTCTTATCTACTTAACTTTCAGCACGCATTGTTCCCTTGACGATCATGATTTGTCTTGTTGGAATTCCACGCTAAACTTCTTTTCCAAAGTATTGATCGGTCAACTACGACATTACATCACAGTGCAGGTTTTTTTCCCTCCTGTAGTACATAGTTGTTAGGTTTGATTTTAGATCAGAAGTATGCGGATAGTCGTGGTTTTTCAATCAAAAGTCAACGTTCCAGGTAGATATTGATCAGTGGCATCGTCGACATGGTGAATCGAAAGGCCAAGATATGGAACTTGTTAGTCTATTGTTAATGCTGAGTTTTGAGAACTTTTCCTTTTTTGGTTGACTTGATTTTTTGGTACTCGCGCATCCTAAGACTAGGAATTGTGAATGCAGTTGTATATGCGCTAATTATTTTATTGAATTCCCTTTAGGTGGCTTTGGAAATCGAAAAGGCATTTCTGAACGAATTGCACCCGAAGGATATTCTTCACAGTTCCACTGTTATCCGTGTCGCCAAAGCTGTCAGTGATAGGATTAGGAATGTAGGCTTACAATCTACTCCTCAACATAGTTGATTTGCCTTTGTAGCACATTGTGATACAAACCAATGGCTATCTAGGCGCAGATTGCTTCCATGATGTCTTGTATTTACTAGTCATGGATATTTTTAGGTGTCGGATCATATTATCTCTTGGACTCCACATTTTCAATGCCCTATACCATGCGAATATCGTCACAACAGTTACCGGAATTTATTTATTGCATCGGTAGGCCCATTTACATCGTGGTATCTG